GCAAATGTTTGCCTTTTTTACTTGCTGAATAGCTTAAACGATAAATTGTTTTGTTTTGATTTTTTCTTAATCAACAAAACATTTTATTGATGATTATGCTCTTATCTTAATGTGCTTAGGCCAATATAATACTACACATACAGTGTTTAGTCCAAGAGAAATCCAAGAAAGTATAGGTAGGTGTTCTTATAAACTAAAATTTAAACTGATTTATTCTCAATAAGGAGACTGATTAATGGAGATACATTATTCCATACATGGTTTCTTTAGCCCCAACCTCGGAACCAGCTATCACCTGAATTAATTTGTTTTTTACTTTCACAGGGGAATAAAACCTGCAGAACTTTGGTCAAAGAGGACTGGAGTTTTAGACATCATTCCTTACCTTTAAACATGAACGCCACATCGCACCTTACGTGCTGCAAGCTGAGCTTCCAAGATTCCTCCGTGTCTGCTGGGTTGAAACGTTTTCATAATGCTTATCTCCTCTACGTGAAACTACCCACAGAAATACATAAAACTTAAGGAACCTATTAGTCTCTGTGAGTTCAAAGCAGTTGCAAGGACAATGGATGATGCATATATTGGAAATATTCAGGGCTTTGATTATGTGGATTGCAGAGCTCTGTGCATCTGTTTCTCCTCTGTTGTCCTCCTCTGCACTTTTCCATTAAATCACTTACTCTGAATGATTATCAGTTATTACCACAGTTAGAAGGTACTATCAGGTACTTTAGATATGGGCTTCCTCGAGGGTCTCCCACGCACCCCAATGAGAGAATTAATGGAATACAGAACACCACTGTAATTAACTTTCTAAATAGCCTCTATTTCTGAATTGTTCTAGTGTGCAAAAGTTTGGTTTCTCACCTAACTGCAACATCAGATATTTTGACCTATAACAGTAGGAAAAGCACAGGTGCAGATAATAAAAAAATTAAAATATTGGCAGCTGAATTCCATTAAGTAGCTTCAGTTTCATGGTCCACAGTAATGGCTTCTTGGGACACCTGAATAGCACAGAGCTATCGTTAATATTATTAGTAACACCTGTGTTTTTACTACTATGACAAGTCAAAATGTCTGATGTGAAAACGGTCTATTGCTGCAAGGGAGTGAGGTTCCAAGAACCGATTCTTTTGCTGATGAAAGGGCTGGGTAGGTTACCTGAAAATAGTCACCTATAATATTTATGAATTATTATCATGTTTTCTAATCTCTGTTAAAATTGGTACCATGCAGAAGTCAAGCTTGCATTATGACAAGCTAATACATATACCCTTGCTCAGTGACAGTCTAAAATACTTGCCAAGTGAGTCTTCAGGTACGAACACTGCTGGTGCATCGTGCTGTGGTTAGTTTGTGTTTCGTCTCTGTTCTTATTTGAAGAGGTTGTGTTGTTGGAATGTGGTGCAGCGAGGGCAGGATTTTGTTATTTAACCATATCCCAACCTCAAACTGTGTGAGGCTTTTATGTTTTAAGGTTCAATTCCTCTTTCACTTTTTGATGTTACCACAGAAAATGCATTGTAATCATGACTAATCACAATATGTTTTGTAGGTAATAATTTAGTATGAGCT